AGTCAAGTTGAAACATGATAATTCACTATCGAATTCAAAGTTAAACCAGAATTGTACATGATGATGCATTTGCAATATAACCCGAATATCATTAAAATTCGCTAATATGCTTGCCGCATTATGTCAGGTAAATGAATGTATAGAAAACGTAATGAAAAAAAGAAAAAGTTTAAATTTTGAGACAACCACACAGAAATCATAATTACGGTTTTAACTGAATCATATATATATTCTGAATACACTACAATTATATGAATATGAACAAATAAAAACACTGTCCGAAATGCACTCAAATATTAAGTATGTAGTATTTGGCTCCCTACTATTCAAATTAGATAATTGGTAATAAGCGGTTTTTATTTGCGGCAAGCATGTGACAAAAACATAAACACTTCTTCTTTTATCACATGCATAGGCATGTGAATGCTCATTTTCATCTTATGTGAAAATGCATATGCAAAATTCATATCCCAGATGTCAATAAAAAACACCCCAAGTCCCTTAAATTCGTCTTTTAGTATTCGATTCATGTCATACAAAATCCAGTAATTGTTAATGTTGTTTCTTTCGTGCGATCCTTTGATGGCTACAATGGTGTTTTGACAGCGATCCATTAGGTGCTTTATGCCTCTTGCAAGAAGAAAAATTCGTTCCGTGAAGCTATATGTAGTCCAAGTGTCAAAATGCGCCCAGAGACTTATAAGAATGACGTAATTGCATTCGGGAGAAGCCAATCCATCGATAATATCAACAAAGTATGGAAAACGGGATATTGGTATCTGCGGGTGTCGTGATAGTGCATGGTGATGATAAGTGAAATTAATGTTATTTTTTAAGTCTGTGACTAGCATGTCATATGAGTCGGTACCACTGACTTTGTATTCACCAGGTAAATTGTCAACACGGTTCCTCCAATTTTTATCTGTGACATTCATCGGATATCCAGCTATTTGCAACATCTGTTGATACCACTGCCTTGTGGTGGAGTCACCAAGAAAGTATACATGTTTGCCCTGCAGGCATTTCTGAACTTCCCTGGCGTTGTGCCATTCTCTGTTTTGACATACCAGTGAGTACCATCTCGTACCAAGCCAGTATCCGTCACTTACAGTGTCTGATAAGTCGCCTTCACACTGCGGCACTTGGTATTTAATGTAGTCTGACACCGTCCGACCTATAATAAGAGTGAATGAATGTTTTAGTAAAACAATTCAGAAATTACATGACGTCAACACAACATGTAACATGTATTTTTAACTTTTTTGTAAAAGAAGAACAAACTTACGTTGTATCGTAAATTCGTCCTGGAAGCTTTTGATCACCTGCACTGCATTTGGTCTATAACGGCAAAAACATTCATGAAAATTAAATTTAACATCGTCAGCAACGTATTGTGTTAAGTATTACCACTATTACTGCACAGTTTTCTCACATGCCCAAAATACCAATTATTAGACGTTTAGGTTATATGCATTATTTGAACAAACCTATGGGTTTCAAAAGACTTTTATTTAATTTAAACTATATAACTTTAAACAATTAATTGAATTACAGATGCAAGAATGATATACTAATTGTCATACCATTGACTCCAATGAGTGGTCTAATTGAGGCCAAATTCAACTCATGTAGTGATACGCATTTTAAACGATTATAAATAAATTGTAACTTGATGAAGGTATACAGGTCTCACACAACAAATCAAACTGTTCATATAAGATAATGTAAAAACATGGAAATCATGGTTTTGTTGTACGAGTTGTGCTTTACATAGACCTAATTAACACGAGTATCCAACATTTAAAAAATAAATAAAAAGAGAAATTTGTCTAGTTTTAAAATCAATTCACATGATAATCCATATAATGATGAGTGTACATGAAAAAAAAATAACATCAGCTAATGTAAATATCTGGTTTGCGATTGAAACTTTTCAAATATTCTTCAAATCAGGCAAGGCAGTTTCTGCCACCTCATCATCGGGCCATTGGCATTGTTATATTGCAACCCTATATATGGTAAATGCCACACAGCTGCAGCAATAATAATGGTAGAAACACACTAAATTATTTAAATACTCACGCTTTAAATAAATATTGATGGGAGACAAGTATATCGGTTTCTGTTTTGCTAATCCTTGTATTTTTTGAAACAGATATGTTTGCTAACGTGTTACATTCCAGTGACTTAGGTGGATCACACAAAAACACTGTATTTCCTGAAGCTCCTGGGTGCGGGTATTCACACTTATCTTTCCATTCACCTTCTCTTTTCACAAAACAATCTGACATTTCTGTTTTGTTAGCGCTTCGAAATATGCCATTCCAGGATGCTCGGGATTCAATAGATAAAACAACTTCACGTTGGTACTTAACTGCCTCTCTTTGTAAGACCAACACAATTTGTAGTTTTACAACTCCCGAGAAACCTGCGTAAAATTGCACAGTGTAAGTCCCATTGCCATGGTCGGTAATTCTCCCCATAGATGCGAAGTGGCTACCCGTGTTGTATATAACTGCTCGCCACAAATCTCCACCAATAGTACGTCTCCTACCATTAATATCACGTGCAATGACAGACAAATCGAAGATATCGCCCCGTGAAATAGAGTTGACATCTGTAAGAAATACCACCTCGGTTTGACTAGCACAAGTGCGTCCATAGCTGCCTTTGGAAGCGGCAGAAATATTCCAAGTATGTTGACCAGTCTGCCGAATTTCTTCTTGAATCCCAACTCGTTCCACTTGTGGCCAAGACAAACTGGATGGTATGGTTTTAGCAGCGTACTTCATTGTTACTTTGTGAGATGTAGGTAGCATGGTCTGGCGACATGTGTAAAAAAGATTGATCAGATCAGATATATGTTGCATTTTATAAAAAAAAGCGGATGATTCAAAGTCACTGTGTGATGTATGATATAGGATTAACCCTGACTCTGCAGAACAGGAGTTGTTTAAATAGGACGACTAACAGTCGTGATTTGATGGCGACAAGTAATGCATGTCTGATAGGATGTCTGTGTAGAGTTTGTCAGTCATTGTGAAATTAAATAACATGCATCAAAAGACCATTGTGTTTATTAATGTATGGAGCTAGTTTAAACCAAATTCGACATGGATCAATTTCCTGAATTGTGAAAATGTGTCATATTTTGTCATCTTGAATGTGATACATGCATGAGCATATGTCTGGTGTTTTGAACCCAATCCGATAACCTACGTGCTTAAAGTAAGATATTAAAGCCTCAATGTAGAGCTAACCTTACCATGGTGACAAGAACGCCGACAAAGGCGATTCCTAATACAATAGCAAGTATTGAGGTGAATCCTTTAGACGCCATATTTACCTGAAACAAAAAAAATACATTATCTAGTGGCTGTTCGTAATCACTATGTACAGCTACTCCTCCTATATAAATTGTCGTGGTTGAACTGATACAATTTATTCGCATTCATATTTAGGCTGTTATTTGAGTTTATAGATGTACATTACAGTACATAGTAAAACAAGTGAAAAGCTAATTGACATCGTGGTACACATTTAGTAATGTCATACAGTCTGTTAAAAAGCCGATATGTCTATCAAGTCGTGTTCAATCGTGTGCATGCCACGCAAAACATTTTTTATTTCAATTATTTTCATGGAATAGCAAATTTAGTATTTTTTTGGCAAATTTGTGATTCATTATCAGTATCAGTGTGTTTAAATTTCAGCGAATTAACATTATTGGCTATTTACGTCTGTCAAATATCGGCCAAATAAATACATGGAATCATTAATTACCAAGGACCTGACATAGAATTGAAAATTACTCCATATAAACAAATGTTCAATTCAGGAACAGGATAATAGTATGTTTGGTTATTGGTCAATAGTAGGGCGCCACCAGACTTTAGCAAGTGCGTCGTGTTTCTCTCTTGAAGTTGACGCTGATTGTGCACAAAGGAAGTATATATATGTGTATGTGGTGTTTACAAAGAACGTGGAGATGATCCACAGTACATCGTGACCAATAATGACATGATTGGTTGTTCAACTGTGGGGGTGTCTTTTATTTCTGTGCTAAATGTGCAACACTAAAGTCCCAACATATATTTTTCATGGTTGTTCGGCCGTTTAAAATCATATTCTGGGAAATATTTGTATCATTTAAATGGTCGGCTTCCATTGCTGATCCAAATTATTCAGAAAATGGAAGCGCAAAAAACGCGCAAATTCATTTTACCGCCACTTTACAGCGGTTTCCACACAGACATCAGTTAATTTAGTTACCCAATGGCTGAAGTAATTTCACATCGCCCAGATACCCCCCCCCCCAAACAGATGACAAGATTTGAGAGGATCGGCCAATAAGCATGCGTTTAAAACAGCTGGCACTAATATCCCATGTTTCTAATTACTTATTTTGCACTCGTACAATGCAAAATACATATTTGATTAGGTTGGTTGGCCATCAAGTACCATCCTATGGCATCCAATTCATATATCACCAATACCATAGTACAGAGTTATATTAAAGGGGAGCAGAGGTGTGGCTTTTGACACTCTGTACATAAAATTTGAGATCTATGAATGAATTCTGTCGATAAAAA